GCGACTACCTGAAGAAATCCTCGACAGTGTTGAAGCTGGTCACATCGCTCAGCATGTCGGACCAGGACTTGGTGCGATCGTTCTCCCAGTGCCACAGCGTCCAGGTGTGCTCCAGCGGATGCTTGAAGCACAGATCGTAGTCAATCGAGCTGAGCACGCGATTCAGCGACGGCTGCAGCTCGGCCGCGGCGACAGCGAATTGCTCATCGGCCACCACGTTGTTCCCGTTGCCGCCGGCGTAGATGGCCTGCCCGGACTCGGCCACCTCGGTGCCGTTGTTGTAGTTGTCGTAGCCCATGGTTTGAGTTACTTTAAAGTACTTCTGCAATATAGCGCCTATTTCGTAAAACTTTTGCTCAAAACTTGCTTATGCCACACGTTAACGGCTCTTTTTCTTCTTTTTTATTGTGAGGTTGGGTTTTTTGGTTTCAAATACGTTTTTTTTTTTTTTTTTTTTTGGTAAAATCATACGAAAAAAAAGCCGTATGAGTATAATGAATATGAGACTTTTCTTGTGTTGCTCGGACGAGTTTAATAGAATAATGAGAGAACTGGAACACTGCAAATCATCCAATTCCTGACAGTTGACAGCGAACAGTCGTCGCCTGCTGAATATACTGAAAGGAGCACTTGAAAGTAGCTCAGGCTGCCAGATCAATCAGTTTTATAGTTCAGTGAACGTTTAAAGTTTTTCCAAACGGCGCTGCCAGATCAATCTGCTCAAGAAGTGTCAATAAGAGTTGCCAGATCAATGTATGGGACAAGTGCTAGAACGAACAAAGTTTTATAGATTAGATTCGGGCTTACAAATTGGAGATGCCTAATAAGTTGGCTTTATCCTTAAAGTTGACATATCCTTAACGCAAAACTATTTAAAGGTTTTACCGGTGGTTCCCAATGCTCCGAATTGAGATGCATTGTGGAGTAGACTAAAACAGGCTAAAATGTAAGAAAAACTGCTGGGAAAGCAACCTAGATGAAATATTGAAGAAAATATGTTTATCAAATTATTAGCAGTGAACTTTTCCGCTCATAATAAGAATAAAATAAAATAAAGTACTTCTTCTAAGCATTTCCCTTAAGAATTTCTTCTAAGTATTTCCTCTAAGTATTCTCTCCAAGAATTTCTTCCAAGTGTTTCTTTTACGTATTTCTTCTTTAATGTTTATCTGAACGATCATTGAATATTATTTTTTACTTCACTTCACTTCTCTTCCCTTTACTGCAATCCACTGTTGACCCCCACCGGCCCTGGGCGACTGAAGAAATGCTGCAGCTGCTACACTTTATATAGGTCGACTTTCACTCTCACCAAGTTGCTCTCAAATGTTGGGCCCGACGTCAGGTAACGATCGTTGTAGTCGACCTCTAGCTGACCAATGGGAGCACTCTCTGCTGCTGCGAGCATTCTAACTTTGTTTTACTCAAGTATAAATACCAAATGAGAGCTTCTGCATACATGTAGACAACTTAAATGATCTTCTATAGTTCTGCGATTCTCTTGATTTTGTTAGGCAGACATAGTCACATAGTCTCTTAAGGACAACGAGAGCTGCATAGTCTGCCTCTATTTCAGGCTATGCCATTGCATACTCATTTTCAACAGATCTAGCCTGAAATAGGCTAAGCGGGCAGCACTGGTGCCTCCAGTGCCAACTGCAGCGGGTGTCCCGTGCCGTGGCTTCGCGCGATCAATTGAAATGTCACGCTAATAAAATAAAATGGCAGCGCGCATACGATAAATGCGCCCAAAATAATAAAATGTGACTCAAATGAGCGAACGCGACAGGCAAAGCCAATGGCAGGAGCCGGCAGCAGAAGTTCGCTTGGCTGGCTGGCTGTCTGCCATCCTTTAACTGTCTCCCTCTAACACATTCTCTCTCTCTCTGCCTCTTTCTATCTCACTCTTTCTGTGCAACAGTTTGCTTGCAGTCAATAATCGAAATCGACTTGGGCTTGTGGCAATAAAAATTTGTCTTCGCCGCTTAAGTTTTGCGCCTTGTTGCACAGACAGACAGACAGACGCCCGCCCCCTGCTCCTGCCCAGCTCCTGCTGATAATAAAATATGTGAGTCCTTGCCACGCTGGCTGCCTGGGTAAGTAGCTTTGGGCCCTTGTAATGTGCACCATTTGTGCCAGCCAAGCCACTGTGTGGCTTTTGCCACAAGTTGTGGCTCTTTGGACATGTCTACCTCGCTTGCTCTACCCTCGCTCCCTCTCCCTCTCACACTCTCCCTAGCTGTCGTTGCGCCCCTCTTGGCTTGCGTGTGAATTATGTTGGCCAAGTTAGTGCACAACAGGGCGACGACTAAGTTGAGCGCTGCAAATAAGTTTCCTGCTTCAATTTACTTAAAAATTCTATTTATTTTAGGTCTTAAGCAGCTGCCACGCCCCAACCCAGACCCAAACGCCCCTTTGTCCAGCTAAGCTGGCGAAACGATTCTGTCTCTAGCTGTTTCTCTCCCTTTGGCTCGCTCAAGTTTCGGCGTAAGTCGCATAAATCTTAAGCCAACTGCGAGTGAGCATATTTGCAGTTGATTAGCGCAGTTGAAATATATAGAGAAATGAATTATTCGCAGATATTTGTCTAGATACATAGAGAGCAGATAAACAGAATGAAAACATAGTATATATACCTGTATCACATCCACTCCAAACTCAACATTAACATTATCCATCTAAATTATATATGAACTACAATCTTACAGTTAACTTTTGAGGTAATCTAAATATTTGACACGCATACTTTAGCTGTCCGAAGGAACTATAAATGTTTTTGTTAAATCCAAACAAATGTTTAACTTGGCGTTACAAATCCCCAAACTTTTTCCAGGTGCCAGACGCTGCGTATACGTAATATTTTACAGCGCTTTGCACTTTGCCGCGCTGCGAGTACTGCTGTAGTTGTATGGGTCAGTAAATCTTTTAAAATATTGTAATGTTACATAGTGCAAAAAGCAACATAACAAGAAAGGAAAAGAGAAGAAAAAGAGCGAAGCGAGGCAAAAGCTGAGCAGCAGCTTAAGCGAGCTTCGAGTGGCAAGCCGTAAAACCAAGAGATGAGCAGGAGGAGCATGTCTTGAGAGCAGCAAGAAATGAAAATGATTTGAGGCATTAGGTAGAGCACATCTCCCCCAGCTATAAAACTGCATGCCTTCCGTGCCCGTGTTTTTTGGCCCCGGTCCCAGCTCCAACTATGGCTCCGGCTCCGGATGCTGATTGCTGGAGATTTCCGGTACGATGAAAGCGCCAAGCACGCGATGATGTACGATATGAAGGCGAGCTCGTTTATTTCGCACCTGAATGGCAGATCAAGAGCGGATGGATGGGCGAGCCACATGAAACAATAAAAGTACAAGGTGCCAGCCAGGAAGTGGCATAAACGTGTGGGCGGCGGCCATATGTGTGCGCGTGTGTGTGTGTGTGTGTGTGTGTGCCTCGAGGCAACCAAAAACTGGCAAAGAGGCAAAGGCAAGGCAAAGCTACCTCTGTCGCTCACCTCCTGCTAAATGCTGCAAAGATGAAGTCGCTGCCAAGTCGCGCATCTGTCAGGCCCAGCCACCCATGCCCAGGCCGGGCTGAGCACGAGGAAGAGCAGAAGCAAAAGGCCAGGTGAAAGTCATTTCACGCTGTTGTAGCGCAAAAGATTAAAATAATAGCAGCGCGTAAATTAAACAGCCAGAAAGACCGAGCAGCAGCAGCAGCAGCAGCATCGGCGTCTTCCTGCCTGCCACCCATGCAGCCAGTCTAGTGGCAACCGCAGCGATTCTTTTGTCTTTGCGCGTCTCTCTGTCTCTGCGTGTGTATGTGTGTGTGTGCGGTCTGGTGCTAAAACCGTAAGACGCTTAGCAGCTAACGGGCATGGGCAATACTTGCCCGCCATTCGCACCATCTGATGTGCCACCAGCAACAACAGCAGCAGCAGCAGCAACAACGCGTTGTCAGCACTTCATTTTGAGCCAACATGCCGCGTGCTTCACTTAATGCGTCAGCCGAGGAGGAGGTGGGCAGCAGGTGTATGACAGCACCCAAACCCTTGTAACATTATCCTGTAAACACACAAACGCAGTTGCATTACTTTATGGGTATTATAAAGCACAGGCGACAAAACTTTAGAACTCGATATGTTACAGAATGGAAATATATATTGATTTTATATTATTTATATTAATTATTGTATTATATTAGCTTAAACCTACTTTAATCAGCATTAATTGATTAGTTTTAAAAGCCTTATTAAACTGAACCACTTTACATATTCACAACCGTTGAGTTCTCTTTCCATGAACTAATCGTTTTCGTTGACTTTGTCGCCTGCACCGCTGCACACAATGTATTGTTCTGTGCAGTACCGTTGCATGCAAAAGGGAATGAGTTGAGCGCTTTTCGGTATGCGCTGATTCGTTAAGCTGTCCCCCTCCCACTGCACTCGTTCCACTGTCGTTCTACTCACACTCTCTCTCTCTACTTCTGCTGCACTCTCTTCACTCTCTACTGTCGTGACTTTGAGTGCTTGTGGCTTGTCTTTTTCTACTTGTTACTCCGTCGCTACTTCTTCGTCTTCTTCGCTTTTGCGCTTCTCCGTAAGCTGAATGCTTTATGTTTGCCAGCTTTTAGCTCCATTGTTGTTGCTGCTGCTGTTGCTGCTGCTGCTGCCTTTGCTGTTGTTGTTCTGCTGCTGCCATTGCAAGTTACTTTGCTTTTGTTCGATGAAACGTAAAAATAGCAACAAGCAACGAAAACTCATTTTTAGACAATGCCGCATAATTCCAACGGATGCGGATGAGGGATACAGCGTACGTCCTTTTCGCTGTAATGAGGTGCATACTTTACCTGTTGTTGTTGTTGTTGTTGCCACTGCTGCTGATGTTGTTGTGGTTAGCTGTTGTCTGTGTGCGCAAAGTTTCTCTACTTATGTTTACATTTCAATGCGTCGTTTTTGCTACCTGCTTCAAAGTAACCGCAAGAAGTTTTCTTACGCGCTGTCAGTTTTTATTAGTGATGTGAAAAAACATCGATGCATCGACAATCGATGTTTTTTTTGGCGATGTTTTCCGATGTTTTCCGATGTTTTTATTGATACCGATGTTAAGCGATGCATCGATGTTTGACAGAACATCGGGCGTTAAATTTCACAACATTGCAGAACATATGGATACACTGCCACATAGAAAAATTCGCGAATTTGTTTTATTTTTTACCCTGTGTTTGCAATGCCAAAGTAAGTAAATTGTTGAAAATATATATAAATATAGTTATTTGCAATTACAAATGTATTTATTCTAGAATAACAACAAAGACAAGCTTTTGCTGGAGGCACTTTACAAAAATTGATGGAAATAGCGCAAAATGCAACATTTGCAACAAAGTTTTGAAGACTGCGGGTAACACGACCAACATGAAGGACCACCTGCAGTCCATTCATAAAATAGAACAAAATGTTGAAGAAATGTTGTTTAAGAATTGAATTAACGAAAAATAACGGAATTAGTAGAAAACATCGATACATCGATGTTTATAGCCGATGTTTTACACAACATCGATTTATCATTTTGCAAACATCGATGAACATCGACATCGAATTTTCGACCCAAATTTACATCACTAGTTTTTATAATGAAAGCGGAGGGCTGCCAGACCCCAACAGAAAAAAATAAACATATAAAAGAGCAGCCAGTGCTGCCAGTAGCAGTAAAAATTTGCTTATGCATGGTAACTCAGCAGAGAAGGTCACTTCAACTTTTGAACCCTTTTACACACACTAGCAAACACACACACACGCTCTCGCAGTCACATATGCTAGCCTGTTGCTGCCTTGTGATTCACAGTTGTTGTTGTTGCTGGTCATTTACGCCCATTTAGCCACATTTAACAAAGTCAACAATAAAGTCAAAAAGTTTTGTTGAAGTTGTTGTTGCTGCTGCTAAAGTTCAGTCGAAACGATAATTGCCAAAAGTTTTGGCCAGAAGCCTACCCACTCTGGGCCCGGTCAACAGTTATCAGTTTATCGAGCTGCTTTTCCGTTCGGCTCAAATTGAATAAACATCTAATTTCTATGCTTGGCTCTGCCCGGAGACACTTCTCCATAGACCATTAAATCATCATCATTCGCATTTCGGATTACGGAGTAATCGTATTTAGGTTTCAGGCCTCATTAGCGACGACAGCAGCAGAAGCTGCAACAGGAGCAGCAACAGCAACAGCAGGTGTCAATATTAATTTACTACCTGCTCAAGGATATTCTGCTGCTGGCTGGAATTTAGCTTTTCAAGCTTGGCAACCAGATACATCTGAGTGGGCCGTAGGCGTGCGGAAGAGCTGCTTCATATTTTATGGAATTTGCGGTCTCTGCGGTAATTACGGTAAAGCTAGCTGAGAAAATGTATACAGAGAATATGGAAAGAGTATATATGTATGTATATGTATATAATTATGTATATATAAAGTAGATAAGAGGAAAAGAAAATGTATAAAGAGAAGAGAAGCTACAGAAGTTGACTTGGAAATAAAGACAAGAGATAGACAAAAATAATAATTCAGTTTAATTAATATCTTATTTATGTAGTCAATTATGAAGCACACATAGTAAATATATCGATCAGAAATCTTTCCCATAATATATGTGATTTACTTCTACTGTCCAGTTCCATGTAGACAGTTGCATTAATCTAGACAAGAAGACGGATGTATGACAAGAAGCGAACAGAGCTAGACTTGATAAGATATTTAGATGGATCCACTTGGCAACCGAATGGTAGCACTCGCCATTAATATGCAGAGCAGCTTCGCTCGGCTACGTCTTGAAGGCTGCCTAGTGGATCGGCCCATTAAAGTGGCTAATGGAGCGGCTGAATTATTCGGGCAGGCGAACGTTGCGCATTTTTAAGCAAGGCCACAACAAATGGAAGCGAAAGAATAAATAAACAGGCACAAATATTTCAATGAAACTTAAACTTTTATTTTAATGTCGTAAACAAAATCACAAGCTGTTGGTTGAGGTATGCGATATGCAAATATACATATATATACAGGGATATATATTTATATTGAACTACACACACTCTACTTCTTCAGCAGCAGAGGGGCGGCGGCATAAGGGCGTGCCAGATAAGGAGCGGCGAAAGGTGCGCTGTAGGCCAGAGGAGCAGCGGCAGCATAGCGAGTGTAGGCGGCAGCGACTGGAGCGGTGTAGGCAGCGGCAACGGGGGCGGTGTAAGCGGCGGCCAGAGGAGCGGTGTAGGCGGCGGCAACTGGGGCAGTGTAGGCAGCGGGGAATGCGGCGCTATGGGCGATCTGGTGGGCGGTGTAGCTGGAGGCGTAGGGTGCCACGTAGGCGGCGCTGCCGACCACAGCTGGTGCGGTGTAGGCCAGGGGAGCGACAATGCCGGGCTTGGCAGAGGCCACAGCCACAACAGCGAAGAAGCAGACGGCGAACTGGAAAGATGAACACAATTAGAGCTGGAACTGGAACTGGAGCAGGTGCAGCAGCAGGAGCTGGAACTGGAGCTGGATCTGAAGCTACTTACGTATTTGAACATGTTGATTGTTTGGGTTTGGGATAGTTGTCAGCTAGTGAATGACCAGTTGATTTGTGATGCCAATTTGAAGACAGCGCTGCGCTTTTATAGCCAAATGCCGAAGCGTCAGCACTTACACTTTTCATTGGTTTTCGGGTCTCGCTGGCTAGTTGGCTGTCTAGCTGCTGCTTGGTTATGCGGAGCACGCGCAACGGTTGCCAAGTCAACGACTGCCAACTGACGAAGACAATGCTGTCCATGTTGCGCATGCGCAATTCTTGGCCAGCGAATAATGTTGTTGGCTTGGACTTAATGTGTCTGCGTGCCTGGCGTCCGTTACATTTGACTCGGCCATGACCTTCAGCTGCAGCCAAATGGCTTGCCAGCTGGGTAATACCGCTCGCTCCCGAAACAGTAGCACACCAAATGTTGCTACTAAATGGTGTGATTAACGATATCACAGTATACGAATTGCATTTTAATTTTATGTGGAATAAATAGCTTGTGTAAATGTGGTAAGTGTTGCCAGATTGTTCTTAGGGCAAGACGAGCTGCTTAAGAATTGGGGCATTTTGTGTGTAATTATCATTTGGTATATTTCTTTTTGGTATATGAGTGTTGTTAGTGTGTGTTGGCTGCGAGTGTTGCCAGAAAGCTTGCAGCTTATTGTGCATTTTTAATGTGTCATAATTAATGCGTTTTGAGTAGTATTTGGTATATTCATTAATTTCAAACAAAAAATCGCATAAAAAGACCAATTTAGCGAATTTTTTACGGCAATTCTCACTGATTTACGTTTTGATCAACAAGCATACAATTATTTGCAATATATATGTAAATATGTTCTATTTAATTAAAGCTCAGCTATTTCCATATGCTGTCAATTTCATGCAATATTTCAATACAATGTTTTCAACTATTTGCCGGCACATATTTTCAATTATTACGTATACGCAATTTCAATGAATTTTGCGCTCAGCTTGATTAACTGTTTATGCGCCATATGCACATAATATACCATACAATGGGTGCCCCGCACGCGTACGCACCAATTACCATAACTAATGCTCCACCAAAGACCCTATCAATGCAGCCAAAGTACCTAAGTGCTTACATATACATACATACATATAGAGCTTACACATACATCCATATTTATGTATAGGGATAAACTCAGCTCACGCCGTCTGAAATTCAATGGAAAATTAATTAACAAATGTCATAAATTGCAAAGGGGGGAGAATAAAAATGTGCGATATGCGAACCCTTGACAAACTGCGCTGAGGGTTGAGGCAAATGCAGCGCTTAAAAACTCACTAATTAGACGTATCGAGAGGGTGTGTGGGTGTGCGTTTGTGTACGTGTGTTGCTGTCAAGGTGTTTACAACACACACGCACACACACACACACAAATGCACAGTTGCACACACACTCGAAAAAGTGTTGAAGCGTGAATTTTGCTTAAAAATGCCAATTACGCGATTTCGCAAGAATCGAGCGCAAGCTGCGTGGCATGCGGCATGTGGCATGGATAGGGACAGGGGCAGGGGCAGGGTGTAGCTGTGGCTGCAGCAAGGGTTGGCTTGTAGTGGGTGTCTGTAACATGCCAACAAAGTTGTCCTGCAAATATTTCAGCTGCTCCTGCTGCTGCTGCTGCTGCTGTTGATGATGATGTTGCTGATGTCGCTGGAGCATTTGTTTGGCTTCCTATTGCTGGCGGCTTGCCTCAAGTGTTTGCCTAGTGACTGTGCATATGCAACAGAGAATATTTCGCAGTGGGCGTGGACGTGGGCGTGGGCATGGCTGACGCCCACTAAATGCACAATCATGAGGCAGCAGCAATTGAAATTGAGCTGCAGCAGCAGCTGCCTCATATTTGTCGCCATCACTTGACTTGGGGGCGTGGCATGCCGCACAATGTGGCGACGCTCACATTGTCAGGCAAATGGCGCATATTGGTTAATCCGTCTAAAAGCTTTGATCACACAAAAACCAAAACCCGATTTCAAGTGCGACGCGACAATTCTCAAGTGACCCAACAGCGCTGGCAACATATCAAAGGAGTTGCCCACGCCCCACGCCCCACGCCCCAGCTCTCACTCCCTCTTCTCTCCCTGCTGCCCGGCTAAGTGGCAGCGAGTAATTAAAAGAGAAATGTGCACAAAAAAGGAGCAAAGCAACAACAACAACAACAACAACAAGACTGAATGAAAAAAAGGAAAGCCACCCGGCACAAAGCACAACAAGGACTTGGCATATTCGCTTCCTCTACACGCTCCACAGTTAACTTCTCCTGCTCCTCCCCCTCCCCAGCCTATTGAACCCTGCCTATGTACTCGCTTTATTGCCCCTAATAAAGGCGTCTAGCGGCTGGGCGTGGCAGCAGCTGTGCGAGCGCGTTAATGCGTCGCTCAAGTGCCGTAAAACGTGAGTGACACACGCACACACACACACACGTATACGCACTCACACACACAGCGGTCTATTATAAATTTTGTTTTGAATTTGTCTAGAAATGCGTGCGACTTTTGACGGCGATGGCTGCTGCCTTTAAGTGGTTTCAACAAATTATTCATGATAAAGTGCCAACAACAACAACAACAACAACAACATCAGCAGCAGCAGCAGGAGCAACAACAATACCTACGCAACAGGATTGAGCAATTGCTTAGCTGTGCGAAGGCCATAAAAACCAGGGCTGCAGAAACAGAATATAAAATCGGAGTTAAATATGATAGGTGTATATATAAATGTGATACTTTTATGATATATACTGTATTAGTATAGATATATTAATTGATATATTCTGCGGAGTCAAATTCGATTAATTTCTTGAAATATACCTTTAAAATAGTTAAATATAATATAATTTCTTACTAAATTTATAGCTAGCATTATTATATATAGAAATCTCTTCAAATATCTCATTTGTTATATCTCTTTCATTTACTCTAAATATTCCATTCAAATTATTATTTGAAACTCAACTTGACTAAATTAAATGTTTTTACGCTCCATTTGCACCCAGCATGCACTCAAAACTTTTTAGCCCTGGTACAACTCCTTTGTTCTGCCACGCCCCCAGTACAACTCCTGCCCTTGACTCATGCCTGAATCGTGCCGAATATTTCCAAAGTTGTTTTTTTTATTTTTTTATTCTATAATTGGTTTATGGCTTTTGTAGAGCTCGAGAGGAAGCCGCATTTCAATTGCTTTTCTTTTATTCATTCTTTTTTTTTTTTTTTTGTGTCGCAAAAACCTAATCAAATTACCAAAAGGCCGACGCGCACGTGCCAAATGCGATTTACATGCGACAACACCATCAACAGCAACAACAACAACAACAACAATAACAACAGCCAAATATTTGGCCCAATAAGCTGAGCTGTCAAGTCGCCGTCAGCTATGCCCGTTGCATTTGTAAGTGCAACCTTCAGTCGAGGGCCCCTTCAATGCGTCACCCGCCCAAGAGGCGAGGCTCCGCTATAAAAGCTCCCCAGTTGGTCAAAATCGATATCAAACAACGTTCACAACTTTTACAGTTAACAACCAACCAAAAAAAACCAAACCATCAACATGAAATTCGTAAGTAGCTCCAGCTCCAACTCCTGCTCCCGCTCCAGCTCCTGCTCCTGCTGCTGCACCTGCTCCAGTTCCAGTTCCAGCTCTAATTGTGTTCATCTTTCCAGTTCGCCGTCTGCTTCTTCGCTGTTGTGGCTGTGGCCTCTGCCAAGCCCGGCATTGTCGCTCCCCTGGCCTACACCGCACCAGCTGTGGTCGGCAGCGCCGCCTACGTGGCACCCTACGCCTCCAGCTACAGCGCACACCAGATCGCCCATAGCGCCGCCTTCCCCGCCGCCTACACTGCCCCCATTGCCGCTGCCGCCTACACCGCTCCAGTTGCCGCTGCCTACACCGCTCCAGTTGCCGCTGCCTACTCCGCTCCTCTGGCCGCCGCTTACCCCGCTCCTCTGGCCGCTGCTTACTCCGCTCCTCTGCTGCTGAAGAAGTAAGGCGCTGACTGAAATGTGACCATGTCTTGACATCCCCAAGTGTAAATAAACAATTTCGCATACATCCAAATCCAACGGCATTAACTTGGTTGAAATGGAGTTCGAACTTTGGGTTTGGTCTTTAGGTTCGAGTTAATGCTGGGCTGGCACGACTCACGCCTCAGTGTGCTTTGGCATGGCAACGAGTCGTTTGATACCCTGTAGCTAAAGTCGTTGACTGACATGCTCCCGCTCCAGCTCCAGCTCCTGCTCCTGCTCCTACTCCTGCTCCTGCTCCTCCTCTTTACTGGATGGCCTGCAAGTCATTAGCTTTTCGCATCTCTGCTGCTATCGGAATTTAAGGATCTGGGCAGCGCAGCTGGCGCACTTTCTACTATTTAAAAAGGGATTTCTTTTATATGAAATATGCTTCCTTTCAGCGCTTCCTGCCGCAGCGGCAGTCGAGTTTTCTGCTTGACTTTGCCCCATCCCCCTGCGGCCCTCCCGCCAGCCTGAAAGCGTTGAAAGCTTGAGAGGTGCCCCGGGCAACGCAGCTGGAGACTGATGAAGGCGACAGCGTTGGAGCTGCTGCTGCTTATCATAACTTTGCCATCTTTACCTCTGCCTCTGCCTCTGCCTCTCCCTCCCCCTCTCCTCTCCACCCTCTGTCCCAGTCAGGCTCTTAGCTCTGCTCATCCTGTGCTCAGGTAGTAAATGCCAAGTAGTTGTAAAGTTTTGTGCAGCGTAAGCGGAAAAGTCTTGTAAAAAAGAAATGCCAAGGGCGTCCGGGAGCAGGAGGCGGCAGAGTGGAGAGCAGGCACCCGGCAGTGGGGAGCGGGATAGTGGGATGGCATCCAGGATAGTGACTGCAGCACTTTCACAACTTCACGGCAACAGATAGCGTCCAAATTTAATGACCTTTTATTCAATAAAACAGCGTCAAGCTGAAAACTTTGCTGCCTTAATATCGCCGTGTTTCCCGGACCCACTAATGCATTGTGCCCTGCGGACAGCTGCAGAGGGGCATGATTGATGGCAGCGACTGACTCGCTGGCTACTGCACTCTTATTCCTCTATTCCTTGACTTTGTCTCAGTTCAATTTGAGCGTATGTATGTGTGTGTGTGTGCATGTGTGTGAATGTGGAGTACAAAATAAAAATCAAATTGAAGCCTGTTCGCTGGTTCATAATAATATTTAAATATTTTTTTACGCAACATAAAATTTCATTTATTCAGTAAGTTGGCTGCAAAGAAAATGAGGGAAAGGGAAATGCGAAAAGGCCGCAATCAGAGTGAAAAACTATTTGGAAAAAGCTCGCAGCATAATGAGAAATGCGAGCAAATGTTTTTCTTGCTTCGCTTTTGTCTGTTTTCTGTTTGTTTGTCTGTTTGTTTGTCTGTTTGTTTGTTTTCAGCCCAACTGGCAGAGCAATAAAAATTGAGTAAATAAAATTTGTATTCACTTTATATAATTTTGACGATTTTTCAAATCAGACAAGCACACACACGCGCACACCTGACTAGAAGACAC